TCAATTTGTTACTACATACTCTGTCTAGAAGCCTGATATTTACGGACAAGCTTTAGCAGATCGTCCCCCAGACACTCGCATTGAAAAACATAAAAGAAGTCTATCGATGTCTGAGTTAAAGGCCCCAGTTTGAATCCTAAAAGGCCGGTTTTAGGCATTTTAATGCTCATAAACATGGCGTTTTCTCTCTTTTCCGGCAGGTTCTGCAGAAACTGGGCAAAGCCGACGAGACGCGGGACGCCGCCTTTGAGGAGATGGTGGCGAACTTCAACAAGCAGATGGTGGGCGGCGTGGGGGGGGGGGGGGGGGGGGGGGGGGGCGGCTTTTTACTGGCTCTGTTTCCCGTTTCAGGCAGAAGGAACCAAGCTGCAGAAAGACCTGAAGGCCTACCTGACAGCAGTGAAGAGTAAGTGTTATAGAATTAACACATTTACAAAAGACTTAAACAAAAACTGCCCAAAAGGAGAAAATCTGAAAGAGACACCAGCTCTTAAACACGAGCAGACGCAGAATCAGAATCAGAAATACTTTAATAATCCCAGAGGGAAATTATTTAATAATAATTCAAATAAATTAATATAAAATAAATAAAAATGAAGATGGACACAAAACAAATGCACATAAAAACACAATGGAACAATAGAATATTCCAAATGTGCACAGAAATGCAAAAACGTCTGGACGGATGGATATCCAACTCCCCCACATCCAAGTCGGCCATTTTGAATAAGACACCAATAGGAAGATCCCAGGCAAGAAAATCCTAATTGCTTAATGGCAATATAGACATTGCAAACACTAAACTAAACTCTATCCATAATATTATGTTAAAATAGTGGATGTTAAATAGGTTTGTACAATAAGTCCAAACAAGTTTAACCAAAAAATATTTATTTCTCACAATTATGAAGGATGGAGGGTCAGAGTTAGGGTTAGGTTTAGGGTTAGGGTTAAGGGTCAGGGTTAGGGGTAGGTTTAGGACATCGTTTATCTTCCGATTTCGTATAGACAGTAAAGTTTCCGAAAGCTGCTAGTCACATGACCTAATCAAAATGGCCGACTTGGATGTGGGAGGAGTTGGACATCCAGCCGAGGCTCCTACAGTCAGAGGCTGCTCCAGAAATGAGGCTAAGAATTACAGAAAATCAGACAGAATGTCATGAGGGGGGTCTTGAAGGGAGGACTCAGGTGCGGAGATGAGGGAAGACAAGGTTTATTGTAACAAAACGGTGGAAGTCTAGACAAAGTACAAAGCAAAGCTGTGGAAAACTGTGAGCAAAGTAACAAAGCAATAAGCAAACAAGACTAAGGCAAAACTATGACAAAGTAACAAAATAAAGATTAACAGAACAGTGACAAAGCTGTGGCAAAACTGTGACTATGACAAAATAAAAGACTATGGCAAAAGCAAACCTGGTGTGACGTGGGGATGACGAAAGACAGACGACTAAAAGGACGAAACGGACGAAAACGCACTCGCACAAGACAAGGGGAAACGAGGACTATTTAAACACATGAGGGGGGGGAACCCCAGGTGAACACAATAGGTAATCAAGACATAACGAGACACCAGACGTGACACAGAAGTCACATCAATAACAATGAAGTAGCAGATGACTATAGAATAAGGATCCCCAGAGAGTGCGGGTCTGACCTTTGACCTCAGTGAGCGTTTTTCCGTGTGTGCAGCGATGCACGACGCGTCGCGGCGGCTGCAGG